TTTAATTATGTTTGAAATTATGAACATTGCTCAACATCATGAAAATTAAACCTTATTTTCAATAAGCAATCCTGAAAAATATTTGGGGGTGCTTAACTTTTTTCCAGGTGTATATTTGCATAATCTTTATAATCTCAACAATGCATATCTATAGTTCTTTTCAATATATTGTACCTGGTAATTACTCTCCTCCACCACAAGATGTTGCTAAATCAGTAATGTAAAGTAAAATGAATTGTTGGTAACTGACATCAAATATATAATACCTAACATTTCTGACTCTCATCTATAACCAACAAACACTGATGAAACACACCCAGTGCAAAAGTAAAAATTAATTCAGTTTTTTTTAATACACTGGAAAAATACCAGAAGTGGTTATTCAGTTTACTTTATATTAACATCCCCACTTTCCAGAGTCAATGAGTCCATTCATTAGAGGTAAGATTGTTTATAGAATTTCATATAAAATAATAGCTACTCTTGCAAAGCTTTAACATAAATAGAATTATGTTCAGCACTTATCATTACTCACATATGAGAAATTAGTGTGCAGAGAATATATGGTATATTAGTATTTTCATTATAGAATTAAAAGAAAAACATCGTTTTTGGGGTATCTTCATAAAACTAAAACACTGAAAACCCTGAAAAACAGAAGTCCTAATAATATCATGTAGAACGGCATTCAGTAGAAGATCATGGCATGTCCACTTTGATTCCCACACATGCACAGAGAGTTAAATGACTTTCATATTATTGTATCAGATTAGAAATAATCAGTTATTGACTAAGAACATAACCAGATTGCTGTAGGCTCCAGAAGTATCAACTTCATAAAACCCCAAAACAGTTTTACAGTAACTAATAGACCAAAGAAATAAAAACACTGATAATTAATATTTTTTTTTGATATTATATGATAGTGTAAGGACATTTGGCTATTTTTTTTTATTAATTTCTGAAAAACAGAGGGTTGTTTGGACCCTCTTCCCCTAGATCTGTGCCTACATATACATTAAATAATGCAGTTATTAATTTCACACACACACAACAAGAGGAGAAGGTGGAAGGGCTCTGGCCCCCTTTCCTAGATTCACACCTGCTTATAGAACACTAAAAAATAACTTATTGATTTCTGGAACAGAAGTGGATGGCAGGTCTGGACCCCTCCCCTAGACCTGCACCTACTTATACAATATTAAAGAAACACAGTTATAAATCAGAAACATAACACAATGGAAAAGAAACAGTAAATTTACACTTAACTTAACACTAAGTACCCAGAGTCAGCAGTGAGTATTGCCAATCAGTCGCCTTTCCTCTAGTCAGCAGTCCAAAATTAGTGACAGAGGCAGAGAGCCTTAGTAACTTTGCAATAAGAAAGACAGGATAGGCAAGTTTAGTAGCAATGCAAATCGAACCCCAGAGCCTCAAATCTTGAAGCATCCCTCCCACTCATTATGTAGTTTTATACTTAATAATAAACATAATGGTAATATTTCAACTACTTGGGTAGTCAGTAATCAATAACAGTAAATAATTGATTAATTTACAAGACACCAATTGTTGTAATCACTGCTCAAAGAAAATGAATGATACTGATTAAATGAAAAAATCACCCAGCTCTAAATGTAGTACTCATTATTTCCATCCCTGCTATATTTACCTTATTAATTTATTAATCACTGGTCATACTGATGAACTCACCCAGCTCTAAATGTAGTACTGACTATTTCCATCCCTACTATATTTACCTTATTGTTTTATTAATCACTGGTCATATTGATTAACTCACCCAGCTCTACATGTAATACTCATTATTTCCATCCCTGCTATATTTACCTTATTGTTTTATTAATCACTGGTCATATTGATGAACTCACCCAGCTCTAAATGTAATACTCATTATTTCCATCCCCTTATTGTTTTATCAATTATCTATCCTGCACTTTGTTCAGTTTTTATTCTGATGCAATGACAAGCCTTCTCAAGACTAAGTTCAAAATCCACACAGCTTGGTACTGCACATACTCTTTTGTTTGTTTAGGAACCAGAAGTGCTTATTTTATCAGTATATTAACAAAATATTATTGCATATAATTATTTTCTGTAACCATATAGAAAATTTAACTAATATTCATTACTCAAAAACTTCATGCACAAGGATACCAAGGAGCAACCTGAAGTAGTACTTATTAAGTTATTCAAGTGTAAATACTATCCTGTAAACTTCAGAAGATCAGCATCACTACTCACTACATTGCATCTAAAAACAGCAAAAGTAAACAAGTAATAGCAATGTTTTTTCAGTTTCATACGGCAATAATTCATGGAATTGTTGTGTGTGCGCGTGTAAGCATATATATTTATACACACATGCACACTAATCCAACAACCAACGCCAGTGTTAAAAAATCACTGTAAATTAGATAACACACTGTTCACAAGAATTTTCAAATTAGAGACATAATTTAGATATGCACGTGTAATTTCTCACTTTACTAAGGATGATTTCTGGGGACAGATATTCTGGAGTTCCACATAATGTCCATGTTCTTCCTTTTACTCTCTTTGCAAAACCAAAGTCTGTTACCTTAAAAAAGTATATATTAACAGTTACATTGATGAAAATCAATTGCAATTTCATTCAGTAATAAACTAGATTGCTAAAAGTCTATAAGAGTATGAAAACCTACTAGCATAAAACCTATATTCAAAGCTGTATGTGATAAAAACCTATCTTAGAGATGAATGTGGCAGGATTATTTTATGAGGATGTAATAAAATACAAAATAATTAACAGATTTACTCACATAATTAACACATTTACTCACCAGTTAATTAAAATAGATAAGTAAGCAAAGGGTTTATTCTTAAAATTCTCCATCACTTGTGAAAAACTATAAAATTCTCAGAGGTGAAATTTCTTTTGATTCAGCATAACAAATTTGTAAATTTTGCTATTTGAGCTTCAGAGTTACTCTTTCTAGTTACTATTTGAATAGTAACTCTCTGTAATTTGGACAGTGTCATATTCAATCGTTTTGTATACTTTACTCACCGATCATTTTTGTTAAAGATGAAAACTAGTTTTCTCTTTAGTTGATTAAAATATTATTATAATAATTTATATAATCAACATCACTGGAAGTTTGAGCACCTTTTTTTCACCAGAGAAATACTAAATTTGGATGTTTTTCTTAAAATTGAACAGATGTAAAGGTCATACCTTGATATAACCATCTTGGTCTATTAGAATATTCTCAGGCTTCAAGTCTCGATATACAAGATCTAATGAGTGAAGATACTGGAAGGCCAAAACTATCTGAGCAGCATAGAATCTTGAATGTGGCTCACTGAAAGATAAATTGATAAAAAATAATCTTCTTATAGTGTACTCTCTTGATGACATAATCAGTTATAAAACAAGCTAAAACATATACTTGTATACTAATAAAGATATATAAGAGTGCATTCTTTGCCTTCAATTTCTCTGCATTGAACCTGCATAACTCAATTGACCATTCAATGGATATTTCATTCCTTTACATAAGATAAACATGGTTTATATAAAAAGTATCTCACGCAGTTACTCTTAGAGAGGAACCATAAGATATATTTATATAAAAAAGCATTTCTCCTATTATCTTTACACATGTATAAACTAGCAACTACACAATATATATATATATATATATACTGAAAAAAAATACAAGCAATGCTATTAGTTTTCTAAGCCCACAATAAACATTTAAATACAATATATTGATTTTAATTAGAAACTACTAAAAACAAAATTTACAGATTATCTATGGTAATGCAGAAACTGTTTAACTGTATGCAATTAATTGTATACTAGAAAACCAAATAGTAATAAAAATCTAAATACTTATAAAATAGATACATATGCATTTGCTAAACAAAGCATTTCTCCTGTAAACAATCCACTAAGAAATATAACTTGTGTATGTGTAAAATTATCCACACTCCTCATATGATACGAAATATATGTTAATCACATTTAACAAAAACTCAAGAGTAAATCTGATTCATACTCTATTAAACTCAGAGTAAATTAACAATAAAAATAACTTGAAGAACCAACTTAACTCATTATTTTACACACATTAAATGAATGTAAGTTTCGAAAAGAGATTTAAAAAATCAAGCACTTAGATGTAATATTAAGCAGTTAGCAACAACTACAAATAGAAAAACTGGAAACAATAATTTAAACAAATCATGCATTTAGATGCAATATTCTGTCTACCAACATATGCAAACAGATGAGATGAAAGCCATGCAACATACTTACTTATCAAAACATGCAATACAAGAGCCAATTTAGTGATAAAATACTGAAATAATTTCTAACAAGACAAATCGTGTACTGATTCATTCTATGATAACATTCTGAGAGGGAAAGTAGTTCTGCACATAACATGCATTATTTCATGGTGGAATTCTCACAGGCAAATTAGCTACTACAGCAGCAAATGCAAGACTAGTTAAGCATCTGTCATATCTACAACAGAGAAAAACCAGTCCAAATGCATAAAGCAGAGATGGTGCATACTCCTACAAAGCAGGCAGCATGCACCTCACCTAAATCTTCCACTCTTTCGTAAATGTGAGAACATTTCCCCTCCAGGTATAAACTCTAGAACCATGTACAAATTGGAATTGTCCTGAGAAAAGTAAAATAAAACTATTTTAACGAATTAGTATGTTTAAAAACAAAATACAAATTTTTTATTGTTCTTACCTGAACCTTCCAACTTTTCTTAGATGTGAAAACATTTCTCCTCCTACCACATAAGGCAATACCATGTATAGATTGGAATTATCCTGAAAGAATAGCTATTCATAAATATTACTGAACACAAGTTACTCAGACTGTCACATGAAATATGATTGTATACTGTCCAGATTTATCTAAAAAGACTAGTTAAATTATACTGATTCAGAAGTAATCTTTTGAAAGAATACACAATCACAAAGCAGTGCTCTTGGTTTAATTTTTGATTCCAATACTACAGTATTCCACTTACTGTAGTTATAATTAAAAACCTATTTTTAACTAATTTTAAAGTTAACACATGACAAGAAGTTTAACATACTTGGACTATATCATCACTAATTATTTTATTTCTATAGTGCATATTGGTGTACAGAAGACATTTTAATATCACAAAACTGTTGTTTTTCTTTAATTGGACACTCAACATTTCACTTTACAGCTTCTTCAGACAGTAACAGACAGTACAAAGTTTTTTAAAGGCAACCTTTAGCTATTGTTTTAAATATAACCTGACCAAAGTTCTAATTTAATGTAATGCTAACAGTACTTTGAGAAATCATGATATGCCTCTTCACACAAGTCATACACATATTTTAGAGACTGCCCACTCAATTGGTTAAATGCCCATGGATTTCATTTTCAATTTAAACTAAGATTAGTTACATAAACTAATATAACTAACCACAAAATGGTTATCAACAGAACAGATTCTAACTTTCACAAGATATATGGTTTGACTCATGTCCAAATCCTGCTTTAAAAACAAAAAATCTTAAAATTTACAAAAGGTATTTTTATAACTGATTTTGTATTAACTGACAAACAGTGACAAAACAAATAGTTTAATTTCACCATTATTCTCCAGAATAATTATTTGATTTGATTTATGTTTTCTTTAACAGCTTCTTCTGGAGCATTCTTATAGCAAGAGGTTAACATCCAAACCCTATACTTTAAAAAAAAAAAAACACCAGCAAGAAGTTTAGCAGTTCTCTTAATATATCATTCAGAAGAAATTCACATCTACAGTACCTTTACTTAACAATTTACTTGCAAACAGAGCTACCAGTTGGTCTTAATTTGAAAAGTCAAGGTAACACATTTTCAGTACACAAAATATTCAATGACTCAAATCATTATTGAATATCATTTTTATGTTTAGCTTATACAAACAACATACAGCAATGAACTAGGCTAACTGACTACTAAATTATTTCTATTTGCAATCCTGATATTTTTTAATGAAAACAGCATTTCATATATAAAAAAATAAACAATTGGAGTCTTGGATCTTACAAAGGCTGAAACACTTAGGTATTCACACATAAATAGGAGCTAAAAAGTTGCCAATCTTTTGGTTCTATATATTGAAAATCCTCTAGAAGATAAATACTTAGACAAGTTTCTGCTAAACTGAATAATCTTCCATTTACGTACATCTAGGAATCTGTTTAATCACCTTCAAATGGTATCCTTGTAAAGGTGTCAATATTAATCCTTTTCTATACTAGAAACAGTACAACCATTTTACTGAGCTTTTCACACTTGACTGATAGTTAATACACAGAAAATAGCCAATGTATTCATTTTAGTTTTAGTATGTAATGTTTAATATTTGGAATGCAGTTTCACAACAGATTGTAATTTTAAAAACCAAAACTTCTATCTATCAAACTTTAACAAAGTAGTCTTTAAGCTTTTTATGATGTATTTTGACAAGTTAAAAATTCTTGCATCACAAGTTGTGATTGAAAGAAGCTTAAATAGTGAGAATAAAATGGCTGGCAAGTGTGATACTAATAATATGGTTTGTAAAAAGAAAAAAAAAAAAATCAAGAAATAATCACTATTGTAGTGTTCTGCAGTGTTTGATCCAAAGCAGCAGATAAAGATTCGAGTTTACATAAATGTCCAAAAGACAGACATTTATGGAAAGAATGGGCTATTTGCCTGAAAATGAAGAAAAGAATAACAGATGTAGTAGTACCTAGTGTTGATGAAACCCACCTATTTATATTGAATTATTTCACTACAATCTGCACAAGCCTCTTAATACTGCAGGGCAGATGCACTCCACAACAAAAATCGATAAAACACAAGTAAAGAATATTTCCACTCTTGATATTTTCCAGTCAAGTTTGAGGTTGACAAATGCAATGCAGGAATGGTGAAACTATTTTTTTTTCTATACTACTACATATGACTTGTTTAACATTTAAAAACTCTTCCCCTTTAATTAAGCAGCTTCAAAGATCATCAATATAATCTAATATTTTTACAAGGGAAAAAATTCTGCTAATTCAATTTCCACCTTGTTGATAAAATTAGCCTGTAACAGTCACGCATTTAGCACTCCCCTCACTAAAGATGATACAAGCATGATGGGCAATGTCACCTAGAGTTCTTTTGTCAAGGCAACCTGCTTATCTATTTGTCACTATTCTTTCAATTAAAACATTTATTTAACCTTAATTGCTGTTTTTTTCCTTTTATGAATGGAATGTAAGCTCTGATCAAGTCAAAATAAAAATATTATTTTGAGAAAATATATTCAATATAATGAAAACCTAAATTGTAACTTAGTAAGAATACAACTAATGTGGTTTACTAATTGTAGAAAATACTATATAGTTTCTTTTTAACAGCTTTTTTTGCAAGACAAGGCATTCATGTTTGACCAATTTTGGAAATGTGATTAAAGGTACTACATATTTTTTCCCAATCAAGAATAAAAATATTATAATATATACATACTTCCCAAGTGTAAACTGACATTTATTTGTGTCATTGTCCAGTTACAGGACTGTTGATACTGCTTATACAAGCAAAAAATATTGGTCCATATATAGAGGAAACCAAAGTGCTTTTTGATCATGTTGTGACAGATAAGCTCCTAAGCAAAATGTACTCACAAAATTAGACAGACCACCAACAAGATACAAAATATCATCAATTTCTGAGGAAACAAGCTATATGATTTCATTATATGCTAAGCAGAAGCAGTAACAAACATGTTTGACCATTTGTCAGGATAGCGCTATGCAGTAAGGCAAAAAATATTATGAACAATGCATAACAGGATGGAGATATTTTTGCCACTGATATAGCACATATTGAAACTGGAACTAATAATATGGCAGCAAAGTTGCAAGTTGGAACTGACTATACTACAAAGTTAACATTTTCTTAATCTGAAAATGTACTTCTGATAGATACTAACCTCCTCTAACAAAAAACTTTCTCGACTTATACTACTCTCTATCAGTACAAATATTTTCTCACTACTGGGCTTTATACTCCCTCTTATTTCTGCATACTAACATGCAAATGATTATGCAGCAAGCCTCCACCAATAGGTGTGCAACACTACCACTTCAAGATTGGTCATATCACACCAAACCACAGTGGAAGAGAGTAGGACAGGTGGGAAAGGTCAGTGGAAGTAAACATCTATTGGAAATACATTTTCAGTTTAAGAAAATATTAACTTCTGATACCATATTTTACCCCCCTCTCACTAAAAAGTAGAATTACATAATGAATCAGTGGAGAGCTAGTGAGAAGATGATCCCCCTTTATGAAACACCCAAAGGAAAACAATGGAGTTGAGAAGGAGTTAAAAACAATACACTTGTGGAAAACTGCACCACTTCTGAGTCAGGTATACTCTTCATCCTTTAGTAATGTGTCACCAAAAAAGACAGAAACACGGAGGGACCCAAAGAAAAAATTATAGAAATAATGAAACCCCTGGTGTAGAGTGGCTAGGGTGTGACAGACTGCACATGAGAAGTTGACCTCAATCAGCACCTGGCAACATCTGGAATTGTACATCAGGTCCACAGTAGGAAGATGGTCCTCTACCTTTCACCACAAAAATGGGAACCAGCAGAGAAGAGGAGCTATGTTACCAAGAATCCACATCCACATGTGCAACCAACACCAGATCCACCAAAAACCAACATCCTTCAAATGGTAGGAAGGTGGGGAGCCCAAGAGACTGTTCCTCTCTGGTCCAAAACCTGGTGTCATTGGGAATGTTTTGTCCAGTCCACAGTAGGAGGAGGATACACAGCCTTACACATATGGTAATTAATTTGTCTCATCCAGCTACAACCAACAGCATAGAAGAGGAGCTTTGTTAGCAAGAATCCACCTCCAAATATGCAGACCAACAATGTGCAGAAAAGATCACAGGAAACAGAAGAATTCCATGGAACAAAAAGACAGGAACAAGAACCACAAAAGGAGGCAGTACAAGCCATATACCACAATAGATAACAAAATAGATAAAGTAAACGCTGTGGATCCAACCAGCAGAAGAGGTGGGAAAAGAAAAAGGTCTAACAACTTTCCCGGGTAGCCAATGTCCTGGGAAGGAAGGTCCAATTTAGATAGTGAATAACATACGAGGAATGGTAAAGGATACGAGAATCATTAATGGCATAACTATCGGAACAATGATGACCACATGCCAGAAGGGAAAGGAAATGGGTCTTATAGTAAAATGGTACAAGGAACACATTGCAAAGGATTCAAATGGAGAAACAGACAGGACATGATGGACAACACTGAGATCCCAAACCGGTAGAACAAAGGAACATGGAGGATGGTCCAAACAAAAGGACTGGAAAAGGAGGGAAATAACTTGGGAAGAGAAGGTATTCTGGAAGTGAAAAAAAGGAAGGGGTTCAACAGGGCAGCCCTAAAAGGAGCAACAGTTGAAACAGATAAACCATTAACAAACAACCAGATGAACTAAAGCCTCCGATACATTGACAAGGAAGAAGGGTGAATGATACAGGCAAGGAAAGATGCTACATGAGGGACGAGTCACAGAGTTGAAGCACAGGAGCAGACAAAAGTCACACATGAAGCTGGAATGTTGAGATGTAGGGATGAAATACATCTGATAACCATTGTTGGAGGAGGGATCAGGATAGAGATAAGGGCAGGGGATGTAGCTCCAATAAGGGCCAGAGCAGAGGGAACCACAACTGAGCCAACCAATATGGAGCAACCAGCAGAAAACAACAAGGACTAACTT